GCTGGTCTGATGAAAACATCTTTGCAAACCAAGCTGCGACACCCACCTTCACTAAACTCGCACAGAAACTGACAAACTCTTCTGACAGCTTCAGGCTCTCTCCACTCAGCAAAGCTTTATCAGCAAGATTATCAAAGCCCCAGACCACAACACACTAAAAATCAGTGTACAGAAAAACCACTGCAGAGTTTACTTATGCAAAATTTAATTTCAGAAGAGCAATCAAATCAATTATAAGAACAGCAAACCTCTTGTCCGAAATCAATGCCAGTCATTCTCAAAGTACGGACTGTAAAATGCTAAAGTCCTGTTCTGTCCAGACACGGACATACATGCACTCACATCAGAGCCAATTTTCCCATAAGCTAACCAACATACAGTACCAGTATGTCTCTGGACTGTGGGAGGACACTGGAGCACCTGGAGGAAACCCACATGAACACAGGGTGAACAGACAAGCTCCAGACAGCACCCTAGGTCCTGAATGCAAGGTTGCAGTGCTAAGGTAGCCACTGTGCCGCACAACGTCAGGGATAATTTTCCTAAACTAGATTTTCTTATGGCACAAATGTGCAACCAATACTAAACTCACCTGTATAATTAAAAATCAGTCCATCTACGCAATAGGTTTCTTTTTGTTTTCTGTGAAGAAAAACTACAATGTTTTGAATGACCCCATCTTGTAAAGAGCCTGGGTAGATGAGCATAGAATAATTTCTCCAAAATGAATATATATTGTATATTTATTTTATTAAAGAGCACATTTTACTAACTAAAACACTGTTCCACAATTTAAAAATAAAATATACAAATCCCTCTTGTTATAAGTGCATCTTGTACAAAACAATTATGTTGATTGCACAAGTTTAACTTTGGATTAATCACTAAGCATAGCGGTGAAGTCCAGTGATACACAAATCAGGGGTTGAAATTTTATGAGAAGTATAAAACTTCACTAAACAATGCCATTGTTGGTGTTCTGTGATCGACAGACAATATATAATGAAATTATTTGGCATTGCTTGCAGTTTTTTAAATGCATCTCTACTCACCAAGATCGTGTGTAAAATATCTTTGCTTTATGGATTTTTCATCATTCATTAGCAAAAAATGTCTATGAATGATCCTTAAAGCTCTAGTTTTCTTCAATACATTTTTCAATCATCTGACAAGAAAAACACTAATATTGAATCATTTCTGTGAGAGGTTTTCTTATATGAAACCAAATAAATATTAGGTGCCAAGACACAGCTGAATATGTAAAGCAAGCAAAATCTTTAAACTTTTAACTCCAGCAACACTTTTATTACAGCTTAGAATTTTAACGTTTTTAAAGAAATCCTCTCTTGTATGGTATTGCTATACAGTACTGCAGTTTGCTAAATTGATACAGTTGCTAAATTGCTGTGTAAATCAGAAAAGTAACACTGATTATCTTGCTATTGATCAGAGTGACTGATTTAATATAAAAGGGCCAGAGCAAATGAGAGCACTACATTAATTAAAAGAAGAAAATCAACTTTATAAAAATTAATAAGGCAAAAAAATATTTATACAAAACACAGGAGATCATTGAATTTCACAAAAAGTACCTATTGTATTGTCATGGCAACAAGAAACTTAATCTAAATTTAATTAATCTTATCACACATTTAAATTATTTCAATAGAAAGAAAGTTTAAAACCCTGTAATTTCTCAAACCATTTCAGAGAAGATCTGGCACAGTTTACGCAAAAAAAATTCAAATATATTAATATTTGAGCTCTATTTCTGATTGAATTTACAATAGTAAAAAAAGGTCTAGCTATCTTTTGAATCATTTGCTTTCTTGCCTATGTTCTTCTCATACCAAGAATATACAACAGAGCAAAGGCAGATACTACTATCAGTGTTAAACCCGAAAAGCCTTCTTTCTTCTGAAGGAAACTCCGGCAGTTACATCCGGTGGGAGACCACACTGGCCTTACGGATAATGGTCTCTCTCTCATAGAAGGTAAGACCACCATATTGTCACACCATCAGATGGGAAGTTAGATCCCATGATTTGAATAAAATGAAATTCTCCCTGCTGACAGCCCTGTGTGGGAAGTAGGTGGGAAAGCTGCCCAGTGGTGTAGCGCTGCTCTTTGAGCCTCCTGACACAGAGCAGTGCAAACACCAGACTTCTGAAAACACAACCCAAAGCAAAGGGACTCAATCATTTCCTCCCTGGTATTGCTCCCCTATGCAAATAGTGAAATCTAGAAAATTTGTACGGGACTCCACCGATTGCAGAAATCTCCACCCACGAAGACATCACATTCATTGCATGTGACAACTGCAATAAAAATCCTTTAGGTTAAAACAGTACTCTATATGATATTTTACTTTCATGTCAAGAACAGTCATATCTACAAAACCTACAACTTACTTAATCACACCTTAGTTTACACATATTATACTGTAAACTCTAGCAGGATGACCTTCAAAGCCTTCTTTACTGCTGCAGTATGACTCTCATAGACTGTAAAACTAAGATGTTGTATTACTTTCAGAAAACTGGGAGCGATGAAGCACTACTCGGAAGCAGAAAGGTTTGGAAATGAGCTCTGGCCATTTTAAACTTACTCACCTGCCATAACCAACTGCTTATTCTGTCTTGCTCTAATCACTGAAATTGATCAAAACTATACAGTACATCTATCTGTAAGTAACCTGGTGTGGGTAACATCCAGAAAAAGAAAAATGAATCACTACAGTTTCCTTAAAGCATTGTCTGAGGCTAGAATATGGCCTGTCTGTAACTAGACAGTGGGGGGCTAGATTCTTAGTGACACTATGTAATAAGTTTCTTATTTTTTGTTAAATTCAGAATCACTTGCAACAGCTGTACAGATTGTGTAAACACTCGTTTACATCTATACATACCGCCAGCTACAAAATTTCAGTAATATGATAGTGCCTTGTATTTGGAGAAAATACACAACTTTAGATCTGCCTGGTGTGTTAGGTGTTCACACATTATGGAGAAAATAGACAAATGAAGGCTAAATGTACAAAGTACTTTTTCTTCAAATAATATTTTGTCTCATTTTATGCATATTGTACAAAGGCAGTGCTTTAAAGACGATTTTTGGAATATAGGCACTTATTTATTTGATTACCCATGACTAAAACTACTGTATATTAGGATAATATTTTCTAGGTTTCCTTTTTGATATCTGGGTGATTAATATGAGGCAGTGTTAATAGTTTTGTATGCATAAAATCAAATGTCAATCAACTTTCTGGGACTTCAGACCAAAGTTTAATGTTTCAGCCAAAGTCACTTTAACTGAGAACATAGCAAAGTTTTCACTGAAATGGTTTACCTATAAAATTATTTTTATAACCCCTTTTTGATTGCAATGGCAATTCTCTGGAATCCTATGAACATTAAAATCAGGGCTTTGTTATGTTTCAGAAAATAATGGCGTTTTCCAAATGATTCCCAGCTCCCTGTGTTATGCACTGAATAAAATGTACTTTAATTTTTAACAAAAAGGGGATTATAAACTTTGGGTCACTGTCACGTATAGTTACAGTAGTTGTCATAAAAGCATAAAATTACAGCCGCCTTGTAGGACTATCTGCTATTGTGAAAGAATGTAGATCAGATTTACTGTTCCTTTAAAATACAGTTTACAATAATGAGTTTTGGATTCCTGAAGCAGAGAAAGAAGAGGAGCTTACATCACTAGACTTCCTTTAGGCTCGGGGTTTGGCTTGTGTCTCAAGAGAAAGGATGCCAACCTCTCAACACGGAGAGGAAGCTGAACCCTGCGTGGAGTCAGCATTTCTTGCTCCTTTACTGCCAAAATCACAGAACAGTCTGGAAACCAACAGAATGTTTCTAGTTCACCGCTGCCTCTTCTGACTGAACATCAGGACAGGACCATCCTGCTCCAGGTCTTCAAAAGTCAACTGGCTCGCTCTTGCCTCAAAGAATACAAATCCCTCAGGCCTGCCTCCATACTCCTTTCATGACCCAGCTCTGTGCACTACTCTCATGACCTATTCTGTTTGCATTTTTATTTTCCTGCTTAATCTGACCAGTCCAGCTATATCAGGCTCAAAGACTGGCTCTAGTGTTACTGCACTCTTCTTAACAGATTTCAGACATCCACAGCTGTTCAAAGTTACTTCTACACAGCAGAAGCCCCATTAAGACAAACCCTTCCAGAAGAACATGTGTGCACTGGCGTTTCTGATAAACAGTGCCACCAGCTGTATGGCTGGGAATATACTGCATGGGAAATTCAACAAATTTAAGCCACTCAAAAGAGGTAGTGGCTGCTGTCAGGAACCTGCCTGAAGGGCTCTCCCTGACACACCAATATAGTCTCCAAGGTATGCCCTTTCGTCTGTTGAGCTAGACTCTCTGCCTGCCTTTTGTGCACATCTCACTTGTGAAGTCCACATCCCAAACAGAACTTGAACAACCATGAAGGGAAAACACCTGCTCAAGCAGAAGACTGCAGCCTGTGTATTAACAGTGGTACCACACAGATCAAAAAGCTTGCACACATGCAGCTCTAGAACAATCATTGCTCTCATAGTTCTGGTCTCCGTTAATTGGCTTTGCATAAAAATAAGTCGATTCTGGTAAATTCTAAAATAATGTACATTATTAAACAGGTACACAGGACTGAGTCCTTTGTTCACAACCTTAATGCAAACTAAATGTTTCTAAAAAATTATAAAAAAGGACATACTTGCTTTTTTACATTACACTAGTCCTGTATATTTTTTACTTTCACACCTTGTTGAAAACATTTTTACTTTTTAACTTATTTTAACTTTTTGGTATGTTCTACTTTTTTTTACCATTCAGGAAGACAATGAATTATATATATGGAGTATGCAATTAAATGTGCAATGACTGATTCATGTTAATCATTTAAGAAATGAAATCAAAAAAGGAAAGTTTTATTTTAAAGTGGACCAGTGTGTTGTTTTAGGAGTCAATAAAATAACTCACAAGTTTTGATTGGAAGAATCTGCTGCCTGTATACAAAGGTAGGTCATGTCCTGTAAGAGACACAAACAATAAAAACCTAAGAAAAGAACAGAGCAAGAAATGAAAGCATACGAAATTAAGCATGCAAGACGGCTTCTGAGCTCAATTAACCCGATGTCTAGCTCAGTGTGGAATTAGCACCACCTAGTGTTCACAACTAAACATCCTCAACTGTAAAAACCTACTGAAGGAGCAGGTGAGCAACTCCAGTCTTCCTGAACTGTGTTCCTTCCTGTTTAAGAGGTAACTTACAATTAGACCTGATTAAGACCTGGAGTTGTGATTTAAAGCCACTTAATTAGTTGAATTAAGGTACAAGTGCTGTCCTTCTGGGCTGGAGAAGCGTCCCCCTGTACTATAGTGTCACTTGCCTTTTATCAGTAGCTGTTGAAAACGGGAACTGTCTGAAAGCTCGACTCTTTTTATATGACGCAGTACGCTAGCGCACAGTAGGAATGCTCATGGAGGGGGTGGGTACAGTTTATCTTTACTAATAGAAATCCAAAACATCTGAGAGAAACACATCATCCGTTGAGGACACAAATCATCCCCCACAGTTTTCTTATTTTATTGACTCATCAAAATCAGCAGTATTGATGACTTAACCGATATGTTCTTTTTAAACTTTTATTGACTGTTTCTCTGGTCAGTCCGGACAAAAATACGCTGCTTCAAGGGTGCCATTTCCAACAACTTTAGCAGACAGAACTTTACACAACCACTCCTTATCCTTTTGACTCAGATTTTACTTGCTATAGATATAAAATCTTAAATCAAATAACATAAGAAATTCTTGTTAACTAAATAACATCCAACCCAGCAAGAAATTAGAAAATGACTCAGTGTGACACCCATTTCTCTTGAATGGGAGCATTTTTACAGCGCATTGTTAAAACCCTTTCAAGTCCCAATGTGCAACTTTCAGCTTTATAAAAACAGCTGCTTTCTTTCTCAGTGTAATATAACAGTAAAATATAACAGACGTGACACTTATAAGAGCATACATATTTTGTTCAAACTAATTGAGAAAATTCTAAATTCTTTTACAAGTAAAATGTTCTTCCAGATAGTATCAGGCATCTAATTACTCTACATTTAAGGTGAAAATATAATGTTTTAGTTTTAACTCCAGCTCTCTTTATTCTCACCTCCATCACAGGTTTGGCATTGTTGTAAACGGACAGGATATGTGTGATCCCATGTGTGGCCAAGCTTTCTCGATCCTCAGAGTCTGCAAGCAGAAAAAAATAACTACGGCTGCAACATCTTAACTCAGCTCAATTGTTATACGTAAGTTTCAGTAGTTGAGGGTGTAATCTGAGACAAATGCTAAATTGGGGCATAAAAGTCAAGATGAATATGAATCATTAAAAAAAAACAAAAAAACTGTGAGATTTTATATAAAAGTAATGCAATAATAATTGCTTACACTTCTATAGCGCTTACACCTCTACTCTTTTCGAGAAACGCCCTGAGATTTTTAACGACCACAGAGAGTCAGGACCTCGGTTTTACGTCTCATCTGAAAGACGGCGCCTGTTTACAGTACAGTGTCCTCGTCACTATACTGGGGCATTAGGACCCACACAGACTGCAGGGTGAGCACCTCCTACTGGCCCCACTAACACCTCTTCCAGCAGCAGCCTTAGTTTTCCCCAGGAGGTCTCCCATCCAGGTACTGGCCAGGCTCACACCTGATGAGCTTCAGTGGGCTGCCAGCTGTGAGTTGCAGGGTGATATGGCTGCTGGCCATAAATAAGAGCTTGACAACCGTTTGTTTGAATATTTGTGTTCAGAACAATGTAAACCTTTGAGAGTAACAAAATCAAGCTGGAAATGACTACTACAGGTATTTGATATTTGTTGAGTAGCTGTGAGATGCTAAAACACCCTTGTCAGCTTGCACTCAGTTTGGTACTAGACGGATAGGAAGTACTTAGTTGCCTCAAGCTAATAATATTTTTAGCTGTATTGAAACAAGATGACATTCAACATAACAGAATAGTAAATTCATAAAAATAGCAAACTGCTTTTAGCTGGTACACAGTCTTTTAGTGACACAAGGTGGTCATCTAGAGTACTGCAAGAGAAATGCAGTGTGTATTGCCAACTTACAGCTGTTCATTTGAGCCTATTTCATGATCACTACCATGCCTTCAATTGACAGTGGGCTGCATGTCATGGCATACTGTTTAAACCATTAAGGCTTGGCTATTGTACCTCAACATTCATTGCTAACCTAAACCCGATTTTAACATTTAACATCCGTGCACCCATTCATCAGTTTTCTAACAGCTTTATTCAATACAGGGCTGTGGGGGAGCCAGAGCCTATCCCAGCAAACAGTGGGCAGGGTACACTCCGGACAGGACACCAGTCCATCACTGGGCAAACGGACACGCACACACTCACACCAGGGCCAATTGTCCCAGAAGCCACTTAACCCACCAGCATGTCTTTGGAGTGTGGGAGGAACCAAAGCAAACAGGGGGAGAACATACAGACTCCACACAGACAGCACCCGGGAATTGAACCCAGGGCGAGGCAGCCATTCTCACCACTGCATGACCCTGATCATATTATGATGTTTTAAGAAACAGCTTTTCTATATGCGGAAAAGACTGCAAACATGTCAAACTGAAGGTGACGAAATCTGTATGATAAATACTTTATTACCAAAACAGTTGTCCAATTCCATATTGAACTGGACTTATTACTTACTAGGTAACTCTTCAGTAGTAGATCACATATATGAAGGTGTTACAACTGCACAAACTCCACAAGCTTCCATAATATTGGAAGCAAATCGATTCAGATATCTTCATGGCCGCGTGCTGCTTAGGCAGGAATTTGATTTTGATCATTATACAACTTTTTGCAACATGGTGTAATATGGCTAAATCAAAATATGATGAACTCTTGGTGCACATGGCATGTCAAATCCACCATGTGAAAATACTTTGATTATGGGGGTTCGTTTAGCATGGCGTAGTTCAAGACTTTACATCTGAACTTTATATCAGTGCATCTTGTGTCACTGCACTAGGACTTGCAATTAGAGCAGTATTATTACAGTCCAAGGCGTGAACACACACCACTGGATTAAGGTACTTCGCAGGACATTGATTTCAAAAGTCTTTAATAACATGTAAGCCATAATAAAGTTCTTATTTTAACACTTTAACAGCTACCAGAGGGCAGTGCGAGGTGCAGTGGTTAGCATGACTGCCTCACATCACTGGGGTTCATCCAGCTGCACCAGTTTCCTCCCACAGTCCAAAGACACTGGCAGGTTAACGGGCTTCTGGGAAACCTGGCCCTGGTGTGCGTGTGTGTGCCCTGTGACTGACTGGCACCCTGTCCAGGGTGTATCGTCTTGTGCCCATAGCTTGCTAGGATAAGCTCCGGCTCCCCCGCGACCCTGAACTGGTCGAAGTGGTCTGAAAACGGATGGATTGTTGCCATAAGAATAAAAGGAAACCCTAGTCTAACTTGCTGCGAGACTCAAAACAGACATACCAGAACTGACATGATGATCATTCTAATTAATACATGTATCTTTGTAAAACTGTTCTTATAACCCTGTTAACAAACCAATTTCAGAAAAACTTCCTGCCGAGAAACTAATGTTCTTGATTTAAATCCACTTTAATGAAGTTCCTCAAGCCATCACAGCTATGCATACAGCGACTGCACGTCACCATGGAAACACAAACGCAAACACGATATCACTTCAAGGAACATACCTCTTATATTCCCAAGATACAGCCCATCCACAACCTGAGCGGAGAGAAAATGGGAGAGAATCACGACCGTGACCTCAACATGTAAAGAAGGTGACACATTCAAAATTATGGAGACTCTGACTAGTCGGCGTGAAGCCTAATGCAATATCCCACTACATGCAAAGCTTAGAGCCGACTCGCATGATTATCCAAACTCATTATCAAGTAAAAATCTGCAGGGACATATGCGAACACAGCTGACTCTTCTGTCAGGAGAGTAACATCACTCTGTCCACAGGGCAGCGGAGAAAACGACTACTTCAATATGGGTGTCCCAGAGACTGCTCTCGGGGTCACTTCTCAACATCTTGGGGTGACTGCTTCTCGGCATTAGTACGTCTAGTGCCGTGTGTCAAACTTTAGTCGATGGCGTTGGACGATACTTACAATGGAATTTTTTCCCCTGCAGCTTTTTTAGAGCGTATTTTTATCATACAGATCCAGGTCGAATTCATGTTGGAATTAAGGATGTTTACAAACTGACCAGAAAAGTGATTGCTGGCTCAAGAAATAGCTGAAAACACCTTATTGTAAAATGACAGAAAAGGAAAATGCTATTCGCAAAATACAGAAACGCTGTAGTTTTATCTTACTTCAACTAAAAGGATGAAGTTATTCAATAGGGCAAATGCGTAAAATTTCAAGTATATAAAAACGTGTAAAAAAGTTTAAAACTTTGCAGAAACTTATTAAGATAAACTTTTTACAGAAGCATATCCGATTTCCACATTAGAAACACTCAACGGTGGAAGTTCCAGCAGAAATCTATACTCCAGCGACGACGGTCCCACAATTACAAAGCTAAAGTTGGCTTCTTATCATAATTAGATACGACAGGCGTTTGCAAAGATTTGCTTCTTGGAAAATTGTACTTTTATCCTACGTTTGGTGCTATTAAGAGCATTATGAAACTTAACTGGCTTTTTATGTTCAAAAGGAAAGCAAAAAAACTTTAGAAGATCTTTAAAACATTGTTCTGGCTTGTTTTGTTTTTTCCCCAATAAAGACTCTCGCGTTAGAAAGTCACATATTTGTGTCAGTGGCTTAATTCCGATTTTACGAGCTTCGACGGTGTAGCGCTACAAAGACCGTACAGGTAAGAGCTGTAATGAATGCTTTGTTTCTACCTACAACAAGACAGCACACAAAGTAACAGTTACCTTGCTCATTCCGTTTCCCATGGCTGCAGAAGGCGGCTGATTTTCATGTATCGAAAACAAAACAGTCTAGGAAGAAAGACGCACTGAAATCCCACAGGACTGAAATGCCTTGAACACGCACACGATCGTCTGTTTGCCTCGATTAAACAGTTTGTGGGAAGCCGCTACGAAGCGCCTATAAGGATCAGTTTTCCAGATCACATGCGCTTGTTTGTCTCCCTCAGGGGGGGAAAAAAAACATGCCAGCGTTTTAAAGGTCAGACACCGGGATCGGCGCACAGACGCAGGGCTGGCCACTCGAGTACGACGGGTCAAGTTTCTCTTCCGGAATTGACCGAAATAACCACAGCGCCGGTGTCTAGCCAACTGACTTCAGGGCTGGAGTTAGATGACACGTTGACTTCGTGGGATAGCCTGAGCGCTTGTTTTTACTTTTAGGTGACACCACCGCATACCTGTAATTAAACCTGCATGGCGAACGAGCGCTTTCTGGATTTTGGCGCACCGGTACCGACTGAATCCCTATGTAGAGCACTTACATAACAGCTACAGCTCTCCTTCACAGCTGACAGCTACTGCGCTTCATCGACCAAGGCATCATGCTTCCTTCCAACATTAATCCCTGAAAAAAGATATGGGTAAAATTAAACGCTGATTAACATTTACTGACCCCAGTCCACGAATTCCTTCCTGTCTGTAAAAAAAAAAAGGATTTCATGGACAATTTTATTTTTCCTCTTCAGTGCTAGGTGTGTGGTACTTCCTTTCAAACGACAAGATTTCAACATACAATATCCGTGAGCTTTGTGAATGAAAGGGGAAGGGCGAGAGCAGAACCATCAGCACGGGAGTTTACAACGAATTTACAGAAAACAGTCTCACGGAGCGGGCAGATACACGGCACATGTTATTTCACGTCGTTTCCGAGGCGGGTAACCCTCACCGGTAGGAGAAAACACTGCATATCGTATGGGTGACTCAGAGCTACAGGAATCAACAGAGATCTGCGTCTGTATAAAGATGTATCTTTCCCCGTTAAGACAACGTGGCTAAGCATTAAAAAGCAAGCAAAATGTTTGGGCATGTCGTATTTATCCCTGCCATTTAAGTCCACAGTAGTTTTGTTTAAGCTTTACAGTGCACTAGTAAGACTTCATTTGAAATACCATGTTCCGTCTTGGTTACTATTGCGAATAGGATATTGCCTCAAAGTTTGAAGAAGAACAATAGCGTTTCCTGCTCTCGGGGATTGCCGTACAATCAAGGGAGCTACTTGTAGATCACTTCAGTCTAGACAGAGCAGATTGAGGAATTTGATTCCAAGATACAAGATCCTATGGTGTGTTTATAGGGATGATCCCAGGGGGCAACAAAACGAGGAATAAAGTAGTGATGAAGAGGACAACTAAGAGGGAACCCATTTTGGATTGAGAATAGGATTTTTTTCAGAAAAAGCTGTAGGCAAGTGGAACAGGCATGCCAGCCACTTTTATGGAAAATATTGGCAACTTGTATTTCACTTAACTACTAAAGGAATTGCCTCTCGTTCATATTTTTACATTCCAAAATAATCTATATATACACATCCACGTATACAGGCTACATTAAATTTAGATGGAACATTTGAATGCTATTTAATATGGTGCAAAAACGTTTTCTTAATGATCTCACCAACATTAAACCAGGCTGTGTTCCAAAATTAAAGTATGAAGATAGCACTGCTATGTTTATAAAAAAGTTACTGCGTCAATAGTCTGTCAAAAAGAGCCTCAGAGTTTTAATGTACATATCTGCAGAGGCTTAACCTTTCATATGAAAACAATAATCTTAACATTTTGTTTGTGCTAAGTTACCGTTATCTACATGATGAGAGGTTGCAAACAAAAAATACAACTAAGGCACATCGATATTGTAAGTTCTTGAACCAAACAAAATACTCTTGAACTTTCCTCTTAATGCATTGCAATCACTGCAAGATCACAAAGAAAGCAAACTTTCGAGTAAATGACAGGAGTTTTATTATCTTTAAAATGTACAGAATAATCTTAAGAGGAAGTCAGCTTCCAGAATGCATTAACTGAGGTAAAAATGTGAACAGGCAAGTAAAGACAGGATGTTAGTCATTCATGGTTGTATGTGGTCCATGTGCTAAATCATTTCTTCCACTGTTTGTTCTCGTAGTCCCATTTGGCTGAAAACCCTTCAACTGGGTTGATCCTCATGTCCAGCATTCTCTGCAGCTGAGCTGCTTGGTACTCTTCAGACAAAGTGTGGGGAACCTCACCAAACACTGCAGGGCAAAAACACAAGCAAACCACAGGGGTTTAATACTGGCTGTTGCAAAACATCTACTTCTTGTCAGCAGATTCAAGGGGACAAAATGTATCTTAAGATGCAGTATTAATGTCTTCCAAATGGTCAGCCAATAAGACAACAGGGATACTAAAAGTTGAAATTTAAAAGCGGCAAAGCTTAACAAGAAAATTAAGCAGGACATTAAAAATGTTTGAATTCTTGATCATCTTCCAAACCAATGATGATAAAAGTAAGATTATTCACTAGTAAAGAAAATATTTTAAGATTTAAAGAAAAATATTTCAAATTATACTCAATATCACTCTCCTACTTTTTCACCAGCTGGATACAAATTTGGATCCCAGAACCACATTACAGCTACTACTTGAGCTTGTTCCATAAGCTGTAAAAGTCTGTTCCAAACCCCCACAGCTCCGTGTGTAAAAAGCACCTTCTACTCTTGGTTTTAAACAGAGTTTTCCCTTGTTTCCTCTGGATTGTATTTCATTGTTGATTCTGAAATCCTCAGGTTTGCTTTGTTAATTCCTTAATGTATTTTACATTGATAGTGCTGCGCTCTTACTCAGTTGTACTTTTAGATCGTATAGGAACATTTACCATGTATCCTAACAAATGGTAAACTTTTTTCTGAATATCAAAAATAGCTGACTTTGACATAAGACCGTTCTGCCATATTCAAAATGAAAGAGAAGTCAAAAGCAACACAATTTCAGTTGCTCATCTTCATACTGTCAAAAGGAAACCAGAACACAAGTTCTTTGTTACGCCCTTATAACACCATCCTCACCTGAACAAATCTGTTCTGTAGTTTGAAAAGGGAAAGTCTCTAGGAGAAATTTAATTTACTGAGAAAACTGATCTTTTTTAGCTTCCATATTCCTTAACAGAATGAAAAGCAGTGCAGCTCTAATTTTAGCATGGGATTTATCTTTACTTGATCCATCTATTTAAAAAATATGCTACTTACCAAATTATTTTCATACTGAAATTTTAAAATGCTTGCCGTTATCTGGTGCAATGATAATTTGAATTATGGTTGATCAGAAAGTGAAATTAGCAATTTAGCAAATTAATTTTATATTGAATTAATGAAATATTAAATGCAGCAGAGTAAATCCCTGGAGAAAACACTTTAAAAAGAAAGGGGACAAAATGAATACCAAAAACGTCAACATGAAATCGAAGACAATCCATTATATCAAACATTCACTTACCAAATTTCCTTTGCCAGAAGACAATTAAACCAGTAAACCCAAAGAAGAAGAATATTCCCGCAACAACTGACTTCCATTCGTTCGATCCCCTGTTCATTTCAGCAAAACTGTCCTTGAAGCTGATGCGGTACACTGTTGGCAAAGGCACAGAACTGAGCGTGGTTTTAAATGTCAGGGATGCCACTTTACGCTAAAGCAATTAATACAAATTCTCCAACACTGCCACGTTAATGACGGTATGAAACTAGACAGGCGGGGTGTTGGCCCTTCCACTACATTGATGCGCTCCTTGCTCTGAAACCCCCCCTCCTGCAACCTCTTTGTCCTCCTACCATCTGGTAAAAGGTATCGCAGTATTCGGGCCAGCTCCACCAGACTCCATAACAGCCTTTTCCCACAGGCTGTCAGGCTCCTCAACACCCTGGTACCTACTGCACCTACTCCAAATCTGGAAACCTAGTTCTTTTTTGCCCAATGTCAGGCATCAGGCATACTGACTGATGTATTCCTTGCACAGTCCTGTAAAGTAAATTGCACTCTGCACATTGCACTTTATGTACCCTGTACCCTGTCAGAAATGTCTAAGTCTACATGTCAAAAGCATTGTCTTGTCTGTGTTCGCACCGTAGACCTCGAGATCGAGATCTCGCTCCCCTGTATACTTGTATACTGCTGGACTGACAAATAAACGTGAACCTGGAACTCTGAGGCACGTACATGCCACTTTCTCCTCTCTGGTCAGCCCGGTCCACGCCCCCATCTCCTTCTCCTTCAGGGTCCTCTGCTCCACGCTCAACTGCTTCACGAATGGCACCTCAGGGAGGGGCGTCTCGCGGCGGTCGAAGTAAGCAGGGAGGGTGTAGTCTTCCACCTTGGCCACCCCTGCGCCGTGCCCCAACATCAACAATCACACAGAGTCAACAGCAATCACACGATGCAAAGTCGCTCATTCTGGAAAGGGTGTTAGGATTGCAGGAAGCAGCTCGCTCTTCAAACTGCCCTATTATTAAACCTGCAACGGCGCACTGCTGTCAAACCATCACCTCTGCAGAAAATACATTCATATTCAGCTTCACAACAGCTTCTACCATCTAAAACTAAACAAGCAGTTGGTGGTGCTGGGATAGATTAAGGAGAACATCACAGCCTATTCAGGACAGTATATTTTGACTCCACCTGCATAATGTCGATAGATTTGCTTTTAGCCTAGACAGCAGGCACTGTTCCAGAAATAAAATCCTAAATGAGGTTTCCAACACCTTCAGTGATTCCAAGTTCATCCAATTTACCTGGGCGACTTCAGATTGGCGATTAATGTTTTGACCTAGATTCAAATATCACTGAAGGTCACAATGACCCCATCAATCACGAAATGACAAACCTCCAAAAAAAGGAAACAACAAAAAAGAAAAGAAAAGGAAAAAATCCAAAAAAAAAAAACCATGAAGCAAAATATAAGCCTGTATTTCTTTCATACACGATGACCCCTCGGTTGTAATGAGACGGCAGAGGAAAGAAACTTACCATGCCCCCCGCGCAGACAGACTGAGGTGGAGATAGCTCGTTTGCCAACAAGACTCAGTGCTCTGGAGGCCAACATTCTGGAAAAGGTTATTGACACAATTATGTAGAGTCTGAACAGAGATCAGAAACTTCTAGACAATGTTCCAGATCTAGAATTACAAGATCCACCATCACTGTACGTCGGGCCTAGCCATTGCTACAAAACTGACCCACATCTTCCTACGATATCAAAGGTCTACTACAATCGAGCATATCATACAAATAAGGGGGTTAATTCTAAAGCGAGACACGAGAAGGGAACACGAGTTTCCCCCTAAAATCGGTTCAGCTAACGCCTGCCAGCGTCCAGCAAAACCTAAACAACTCAGTTCAGCCAATAATCAACATCGAAAACAAACAAAACTGTTTTTAAACACACTGCTCCGCACATTTTAAATTTTAATTCATGCCCCAGTTAGCCCGATGGCAACGGTCGCTTGACTTTACCACCTGTTACGACTTACGGCGATATCACATTATTCGAAAACCCACATTTAAAAAGACCCAACAATTGAAGTTTCGTTTTCACGACGGCGTACACAGCTACAGGAAGATGGCAGCGACGCGATAGTAGGAACCGCACAGCAAGGTCAATCTGACCCGCACGACAGAGAGGCCCAAGTCTGCAAGTTCAGTTACATGCAGCACTGGGCTGCTATTTTCTTCAATTGCTTCAAAATCTGATCCCATAGCGGCGGCTGCAGTTTTGCCCAGGGGCTTCCCCCCTGAGCAGAGCTCTTCGCTGCGAGCCCTTCCTGCTCATTCAATGTCATCGCGCATACCAGCACGGCCATTATGCCCCCGGCTTCAACTTAAAAGTCGTACCGCAGGTAAACCAGGAATTAACCATTCCCTGCATAGGTCTTTCAAAATGGCATTTTCAGACCCGATTCACACACTGAAATAATCTTGAGACATAATTCCTCCCAGTATTGCACCGGCGTCTCACACGCCATTACCTGCCTCAGTCGCTCCAGTAGCGCAAAGGAACAGAGACGGCAGGGAAACCGCACGGGAAGGAACTGTGGGATAGCGGAGGACCGCCAGTGACAGGAGAGGGAGGTCTGTGTGTCGGTATAGGTCATTCATTTTTTCAAGGGTATTCATTTTTTTCAGTGATACGATACATTTGAATACATTTTTCGAAATAAATGTATGATAATATTTTGTGTCCGTGTTTCATTTTTGTTTTTTTTGGGGGGGGGGTTGCGACAATTTTCCCAGCAGTGGTCAAGCGTCAGTGGCTCGCTTACTCCATGTTGGCTCAGCTTTCCCTATTCGACCGTATGTTTCAATGCATTCCGTTTGGAGCCGAAATGGCGTGCTCCGGGTAGGGGGTTTTTGAACGGTAAGTCTTGCTTTACGGTACCGGTGTCAGAGATCAGCGTGAAAGGCGGAGGGGTTAGAGTCTCTAAATGTGTCGGCGCTTTTAGGCAGTAACTGTGTAAAATAGCCCTGCCTGGTCGGTTTCCGGAAGGCCGTGTGGTTGCTTTTATATATATATATATTTTATTGGTTACGGTGACAGTGATCCGACTGGCACAGTTTACTGCACCCCACCGTGAGCAGAGCGCTGCACCTCGCTGAATACTTTAGAAAAAAAGTCGGCTCCGTTTCGCCATCGCCTGAGATCATTTGTCGTGTACACGCCACTTTATTTTAAAAATAATCACAATAAAGTGGATCTTATTCGTCGCGGTTGCCTGCGTTTCTGGGGTTAGCGATGTTCTAGAGCGGGATCCGTGCCCGGGGAGTACACGTCGCCTGTCCGGCCCGCCCGGAGTGTGCCTGGATCTGCGGCGGAGTTGGCTCGGGGAGGCCATGGCCGTGAAGCTGACCACGCAGGCCTACTGCAAGATGCTGTTGCACGCTGCCAAGTACCCGCACTGCTCGGTGAACGGGCTGCTGGTGGCCGAGAAGCAGAAGCGCCGGGAGGGCCAGGCGGGGCTGTGCGTGGACTGCATCCCGCTCTTCCACGGCCCCCTCGCCCTGGCGCCCATGCTGGAGGTGGCGCTGACCCTGGTGAGGCTCGCCCGGCAGCTCTGCGACTTTCATACCCCTCCTCCTCCTCCTGGGAACAGAGGTTCTGCCAGCCTTTTGAACCCGAGTTGCCGAGGGCCTCGTCGTTTTAAAAACCCGTCTTCCAGGATGGTGAAGATTCACTGGGGGGACGTGAGCGGTCTCTCTAGCTATTGAAAGTTTTGGCATTTATTCGTTGTTCTAATTAAGGACGTTTTGAAGATGGGAAAAACGTAAAACGTATTAGGAACTGGTTAAAGTCAATGTTATTCCTGCTGTAAGAATTGCAGTTGTGATATTTAATCACAGTTGTCGTGAAGGGTATATTGGTCTTGGGGCTGTTGAGCTATATTGTTTTTATATACACATTTTTTTTTACTGTGAATCTCAAACCGGTTTAACGCAGTTCGTGCGTTTTCTGTCTTATTAAAGCGGTGGTAACTGCATAGAATCGATATCTCGCAACAAATTCCAGTTCTGTTTCACAGGTAATATCTGGTTGAGTGAAATCTTTGTTGCTAGATGTCGTTAGGCCTGAAGATTGACTGAACCCAAAATATTGTATGTCTGCTTCAGCAGAACTTCAGTTTCCTGCCATTTCTCAGCAACTTACTGTCAATTTGTCTGTTTTTTTCTTTGCAGATTGACAGCTGGTGTAAGGAAAACAGATATGTGATAGCTGGGTATTATCAAGCCAATGAGCGCATTAAGGAAATCAGGTAGAATAGTAATATTCCGAGTACATGAGCACTTTGTTTTCACTGTACTTGTGAACTACTGACTTGATCTCTTTGTCTGTAATTCTCAGACCTAACCAAGTCGCAGAGAAAGTGGCTGCCAGGATTGCAGAAAACTTCAGCGAAGCCGTGCTGATCATGGTAAATTATTTTCAATTTCAACAGGAAACTTTGATTTCCCTACTGGTTTAAAATGAAATGGGATTTTTGTGAGAAAGCAGGGCAGGGGGTGGTGGTGGCATCTGAATTTCCAAGATTTATGTTTTCATATAAAGACGGTGTTCAGTTTAGGATGTGCTGTGGCAAGTCCACCCTAAAAGCAACACGTTGCACTCTGCGTTAGTGCTGTACCTTCACCACTTCAAATATGTACGTGGTCTTTGGTGCACAGTACCTAGGAGTAGTTTAGCATGAGCCATGAATGAATGTTTTTTAAGAAGAGACGCTTGGGATATGCACTGATCACACACATTCTGAGTAGCAGTTAGTACATATACTTTACCCGAGTAGTACTTTTTCACCTGGTCTTACACAAGTATCTTGTACCTTTAGAAAGCTGAACTCTTTCACAGCTTCTCCATGATTTCTTATTTCTCAGGTGGACAACAATAAATTTACCATGGATTGCTTTGAGCCAATAATTACTGTCTATGAGCACCACGACAACAAGTGGAAATGCAGGGACTCAAATTTGTAAGTGTCTTTTAATAAATATATATAAAATAATTATTTAATATAATTGCCTGCTGTAATTTTAAATTTTGGACTTTTAAAATTGAAAGTGTAAACCACATTTTATCCCAGGCTGGTGGGTGTGTTAATACACAGTGCTCTCTGGTGTGTCATGAAGATCTACAGTCAGCCCAGCTCTGGTGATTTGCTGATGTCATAATCTCCAGCACTCTAATAAGTAATATTCCATTCTGTGTTTTTGGGAGCAAACAAATGTGTCTGAAGATACCTGTTGGGTTTCAGTTCTCATAGAGCTGGGCTGAACTGCTGAAGCATTGGGCTGTATGAAGGTGAAACAAACCTGCAGTTCCTTCAGTCTTTCAAACAAAGAGAATTGTGATGGCTGAACTTCCCATAGCCTGAGATGGTCTTCTAGATGTCATTACTGTCATCGGGCATCTTGCACACAAGCACCTACCACTCATAGATAAGACAGTCAGTATATGTGGTTCAGCTGGACAGCAAACCCATTGAACTGAGTGCTCAGTAATTACTGATATAGGAATAACTATTATACCCCAGACACGTAATGTTGTTGACTGCTTTTAGCGACTGCTGTGAGGACTGGATTGAAGCGCAGAAGATCACGGCTGCTCTTCTGGAGGGCAGGTCGTACGAGAGCCTGGTGGACTTTGACAATCACCTGGATGACCTGAGGAATGACTGGACTAACCCCGAGATCAACAAGGCCATCCTGCACCTCTGCTGAGGGCTCCAGAAGCAGGAACACTCTTCAGAGCCATTGCTGCCCAACAGAACTGGGATCTTTTTGCTTTTTGTTCCCCCCCGTGAACTGTTTTTCATGAGCAGAGCTGTCTGTGCACAGGCGATGCTGACTAAACAATGAGTGTTTAGAAGAGTCCGGAAGCAGGGGTACCCGGTATCACATCTGCAGTTTTAATGTGATGGAAAGTAATCAGGTTTCTATTGAAATAACAGGTATCCTTCAGACAGCTGTGTATGTGGAATCACGGGCGTGGTGAGTCGTAGTTTCTCATGGCTGTTTCTGTGTAAACTTGTGATGTACTGCTGTTCGGGTGCAACACTACTGCTGTACTGCAGTGGCATTAGTAATTAATAGTTAAAAGACTATATTGAAGGGATTAATTAATTAAAAATGGTTATTCCGGTAATGTGCAGATTCAGATGATTAAGACAAGAGGTAGACTAATTGTATTCCTGAAATTACAATTTACAATTAATTTTTTTTTATTTGATAGCCTTGCCTGTAAATTAGATTTCCTAGTGTGTATAAGTCATGTTGTTCCTAGAACTATTCTTGAGTGCTTCCTGTCCAGGTTTAGGAATAGCATTTGTTGTTAGAATTCCATCATGTATGATGTTTAAAATTGTATTTCCGAATCAAAATTGTCATTGCATTTTTTAACCTTTTAGCCAGACTATACAGAAAACTAAAGTAGTCATTTTTGACTTATGTAAATGCTGCTTTTGACCATTTCCTTTGAATATAAAGATTGACCTGACTTTTTAGTCTATTAGACTAGCACATGACCACAGTGAAATAGAACATTCTACTGAGAACCAGGAAACGTGAGTGGAATCTTTGGTGCATCATTTCATTATCTTAGAAGACTTAATTGATACAAATTCTTTAAAAAAATCAAAGTCATTTTTATAGTCCTAAGCATCATAACTGTTTCACCTGAATTACGTAGCTGCCGCAATTGGCACCACAGATTCGTCTAAATTTAGGAAATTGTTTAACCTGTTTTTTTCTTTCAAGTTAAATGCTAATTTTAAAACACCACAGTAAGATACATTTTTGTTGTGCTAGAAGAATTCTTTATTGACCTTCCCGGAGCTTCTCCCATTCTGTGTGCTCCGGAGGTGGCTTTGGGAATGCAGCGCTGAGGAAAAGGTGGAGCGAAACGAATGGGGGATGTTTTCTGTGATAACGGCCTTCAGACAGGGGGCCTGACAGGACAGCATTGTCCATGGCCATCACTGTGGACACACAAGAAAAATGAGTAATTAAGGAAATTAACTACAGAAGTGTGGAATTTACTACCAGTAATGATAGTCTCCATTTACTCTAAACTGTAAAAGCCATCTCTTCCATCTCATCATAGGTCATCACTTCAGTTTTGCCAGTGAACATTATCTACTTAACGGTTAACTAGTTATTGGCCAGATACTTCACACCTGTCCCCAATTAAATGCTGGCATCATGAACTGTGTAATTTGCAGTTGGCAGGCTGGTTTAAAGTTTTGTTTTAATCTGAGCTTTTAGCTCAACATGTGAACAGCCATGTTATCACATTGATGTGAATGTCTACAAGAAACATATTATCCAGAGTGATAATTCACAATATGCACAATTCTCTTCAAAATGCAATATTTCCTAAGATCCTTAAATAGTATGGGTATGTATCAATAGTTTTCATAACCAGCATGAAAAAAAAAACAGATTTCTTGGACTAATAGCTGCAGATGAGGACAGTCTACTAATTTGTGGTACAGTATGTCTGCCAAAGTCATTTAAATGTAATAGGCATGGAAATGCTCAGGATTTTTATCTTATAGGATTCATATTCATTCTGGACCCTGAAAAACTCAACAAGATGTTGATTTTGAACTGTTTGAAGTTGTTGAAGCCTTATAAAATATTTAGTCTTGTGTTTGAAAACCTTAGTGTTATTCAATTCAATATTCAAATGGTCTGGGAGCCATTGGTTTGCTAAAAATAATTTAGAAAATGTATAAGATTTGTGTGTTATAATTTATATGCATTTCATAACCTCAGAGTTAATCCCATGTATTGTAGTCTGGTATTTTAATTCCCAATTGCTGTATAAATCTGATAAAGTCCAATCGTTTTATCTTCCAGATCAGGTTTTAGACCACAGTCATCTTAAAATGTAAATTAGAACTAATAAAATGTTTTTAAAATCTAGGTTATTTTTAATTTTTTCTTTATATGATATACCTTGTAATTTGTTGAGGTGCTGTAATTACAGACAACTAATTAAAGCAAGATGCATATTTTTAATCCTAAAATGTTAAAAATCATTGAGCATCAAAAAAGCGCTTGGCTTTAATATACTATTTATGCATGTATATTTTTAGAAAAATAAAGTGTATGGATTTTAGAGAAAGATGAAAAGCTTTCTGCATCATTGAGTTTGACCAGGTGGGCAGCACAGTAGTGCAGTGGGGAGCATTGCTGCCTCACTGTGTGGGACTGGGTGCTCTGTGCATTGAGCTGTATGTTCCCCTGTCCTCGCATGCCTTTCCTAGACATGCTGGTAGATCAGCTGACTCCTGGGAACACCGGTCCTGCTGTGAGTGCGTGTCTGTCTGCCAGGGTGTGCCCTGCCTCATGCCCATTGCTTGCTGGGACCGGCTCCAGCTCCACCGCGACCCTGAATTGGAAGAAGGTGGTTAGAAGATGGATGGATGGATGATTATTCACTGTACTTTTGACCAAGTTACACTAAACCACCTCATCAGTGAGGTGAACCAATTAGGTACAGGTAATGAAGTAATTAAGAAAGTCACAGAAAGTTACTAATATACTCCACACATTAAGAGAACAAAACCTTAATAATAATAATAATAATAAAAAAGACTGGAATAAGTGAACTGTTGGTTACCATCCAGTAACTTCTAGTCTGACAAGACAATACAGCCAAACAGCCTGTCAAATGCAGGCCAAGACACTGAGCCAGGAAGCCTCGTTAGTATTGATAGGGCAGTCCAAGTCTGATGATCTAGCCAGAAATCCCTAACCATTGGTCTGGAGAGCCAGAGAGCCACATTCCAGCAGGCTTTATCAGTAGTATTTAATTAATCCATTTCTAAAGGCCTGGAAAAAGTTAATTATGATCAATTAAAAAGGTGGTGTTCAATTAAATAATACAGAGATCATTTATAACACAAATGTCCTTTCCAAAATATTGCTACAAGCAGCTCCTTTTTTAAATAACTGGTTAATTAGCATTTAAGGAGCTGGTTGGAAGGGCTACACCGTTGAGTAGCTCTCCTCTAGCTGCTACAGAACTCTTGAAGCGAGAGATGGAAGTCTTACTACACAGCTCTACACTGATCAAGCCTGGGAACATAATTTGGGTCCCTTGCTATAGGTCACCCTGACAACTTTCCAGCGTGACAAGGCACAGTCATCGGTGCACCTTTAACAAGAGATTTCTTGTAAAATGGGAATATGTTATGATTTGTCCTGCTGGTGAGATGATAATTTGAGCTGGGATGATGTAGTGTCTGGGGTTATTTATCCTGTTTGTAAATGAAGCACAAAAGGCAAATATGTCTAAAAAAGCAACCGCGTTCTACTATAATGTTCCCGATTTTCTTTATCTTAACATTAGGCCAGTTAGCATCTTTTTTTTCTGGACAATTCTCTAAGCTACAGACGTGACGGGCACAATTAGGAGAAATGCCCAGGCTACCACTTGAGTTAATTAAAGGGTTTTCACCATTATCGCTGTATAACAGGTAGGTTTTCAAATAATTTTCAACGCAACGCAAAACTTTGTTTCGGAGATGAACAAATATTTATTAAACATACTAAGATGCTGAAAAACTCAATAACATAAAAGTTATAAACATACAATTATGTTAATAGTGACTATTAATGATAAAAACGTAAGTCTGAATAATTAAAAAAAATATGATTAACTTCACAGTAACCTATGATTAACATAATATAAGTTTGAATAGCTAAGAGTTTCCACGGGTAATAATCGAAATCGAAGGGCTGCTACAACAGGAGCCGGACTTCCGGTTCCCCCGTGACTGCCGACAGTACAAACCTTCACTTCCGGGTCACAGCGTCATCGTCAGAATTCAGCGCGGGAAACTTGTCGGTAGACTGTGGTAGCTGGTGAAATATAATTTAAGAGTCTGACTTGCGGATGGATCCTTCAGAGGTAGAGTTCTTAGCTGAAAAGGAGATGGTGACCATAATTCCGAATTTCAGTCTAGACAAAGTCTATTTGATTGGGGTAAGTACATAAATGAAAGGGCGTAGCAGTGTAGTTAAGAATGCATCTGTATTGTGGTGTAGAGTATCCGTCCGGTTAGATACACATTTGACAAGCAAATGACAGAACATCTCTTTACATATTCTTTTTGCTTACAGTAATAATAATGGTAGACACAAACTACGTGAAATAGCTACAGTTAATGTAATGATTCCTTCTTTAAATCAATCAAGATTAAAGAAACCCGTATGTTTGTAGAACGCGATTTTAAACCGGGCTGAAGCGAGTGAATTTAAATCAAAATGCGAATTTGGGACGGTCGAATCACAGCTCTGTCAATTTTGACATGTAAAATTGTTTTGATTTTAAGCGTCAATAGTTCTTATTGTCCTGGTAGGGGGACTTGGGTCCTTTCAACCCCGGTCTGCCCGTGGATGTGCCTGTCTGGCTGGCTATCAACCTGAAGCAGAGACAGAAGTGTAGAATCGTGCCCCCCGACTGGATGGATGTTGGTGAGAACAGCTAATTTGTCCGGTTATGAAAAGATGGATAGATGCCACTGGATGTATTTGTTTCCTTTACATGTTAGCCTTTAGAATGTATTCCAGTTAATTTGCTCTGTCCACTTATTACTTAATATCTTTCCCTTGTAGTTCATCTGTTATTATTAACGCGCTTAGTCGATTCTCAGTTAATAATTCCTTAGAACTACAATTTATAGCTTTTCTGGATACTCCACTCAAAGCGCTTTAGAGGTAAATAGTCTTCTCCACCACCACTGGTGTGCAGCCCAGTGTGCTGGATGTGACGGCAGCCGGAGTGCACCAGTACTCTCCCCACACACCAGCTCTCAGTGGGGAGGAGAGCAGAGTGATGGAGCCAGTTCAGAGAGGGGGGTTATTAGGAGGCCATGACTGGTAAAGGCCAGGGGGAAGTTTGACCAGGACACCAGGGTAACACCCCTATTCTTTTTTGAGAAACGCACTGGGATTTTTTAATCACAGAGAGTTTGTACCTTAGTTTTACGTCTCATCTGAAGGATGGCACCTTTTTACAGTTTAGTGTCCATCTGTCGCTATACTGTGGCATTAGGACCCACACAGACCACAGTGTGAGCGCCCCCTACTGGCCCCTCTAACGCCTCTTCCAGCAGCAACCTCAGCTTTCCCAGGAGTCTCCCATCCAGGTACTGGCCAGGCTTACCCCTGCTGAGCTGGTTGTCAGTTGTGAATTGCTGGGTGATATAGCTTCTGGCATAATAAAGAGATCTCTGGTATTTGAAATCTGAATAGTCCATCCATCTTGTGTCCAGATATTGTCTAAATTAAATTAACAATTGCCTCTGACAGATTGGTAATAATGAGGATTGTGTATCTCTAGTCTCAGCAACGGACAACTCTGTATTGCTTGTTTTAATCAGTTTAATAGGGAGACTTTATAACTCTGTGTTTACCAGAACAGTTTGAGATAGAATGGGATTTTAAAACCACATTCAATTGAAAGACATTAATGTGTAAATGCAGCTTTATGTCTTTTTTGAGATGTAAATTTGCTCCTAATGCCTGTGTCCCATAAAACCTAACGTGGCGTTCAGCTTTGGAATGAATCTGTGATGGTGCAGCTGGTCATGCTGTCTGCCTTGTTTGGGGGGTTAGCTGTGAGAGAGCGTGTTCAGTGTCAGCCCTTGTCTCTACTGCAGAGAAGCTGGAAGAGATCAGGGAGCAGGAGAGGAAAGTAGGGATGTTCACCCCTATGCCCAGTCCATACTACATGGAGCTGACCAAGTTACTGTTGAACCAGTGAGTATCGCTGCACTCTCGACCTGTGACACAAGACCCTTCCTACTCGGTCATGAAGCTTTAAAGAAATAGCTTTTCCTCTTTGCTTGAGCAACATGCAGTGCCAAGCTCAAGTATTCATTCCTTTCTGATGTAGTATGTATGTACGTTTATTTTAAACCGAATGTTTTTCACCACAATTTGAATACACGTAATATTTTGGGTAATGAAAGCTAAATATCAGCAGAAACTGCCATGAAAATTGGAGACTACAATCTGTTGACTTCACGAATACTCACCCCCTCTGTCCCGATGCTCGGTGAATGCTGTGAGTCTCTGCCAGCTGTGCACACTGGGCTGCTGCAGTGTTTGCTGTTCTTCCCTGGAAACGTGCTTGGCCTCGGTCGAGCTGCTTGGCTGAATGACCGCAAGTCTTCAAGTTTTCAGTCAGACTCAAGTCAGGATTTTGGTGGGGTCGACCAAGGACATTCAGTTTCTACTTTTGCCACCACCCTATAACTTTGGCCTCATGCTCGCGAAAGGTGAGTTTTGTGTCCCAGTGAAGAACATTAGAACTGTTGCAGAGGAGAGGAGATTATTCAACCCATCTAACCTTCTTGTTAGTTTGTAATTGATTGATCTGAGGATCTCATCCAGCCCTTTCTTCAAAAAAGCCAGGAGATCTTCAACCATATGGCTGGCTAGCCTGCTCCAGGCTCACGCTACCCTTTGGGTAAAGATGCTCCTCCTCTAAATGCACTTCCCTGCATCTTGCACCTGTGGCCTCTGGTTTGTTTCGCTCTTTGTGCTGGAGAAGTCCACTGGGCCGAGTGTGTCCGGGCCTTTGATGATTCTGAATACTCGTGTTGGGTTCCCTCATACCTTCTTTGTTCAAGACCGATTTGCATAAGAAACAAACAAACAAAAACAGTTTATTGAATCCTTGCTGTGATTTGAAGTGGCATGTGGGATTACAGAAGGTTTAAAGAAATATAATTTTCAGATATGTTTTTCAAGAGGAACACACGTGCATCTTAAGACTGCGAGCTTTCATTTGTCTGCCCCCGTAACTGTCCTTTAAGCTCTGGACACATGCTGACCTCATGGGACTGTCTCTTCAAAGTGCTTCTGACAACATCCCCAAGGCCGATGAAATCCGGACGCTGGTGAAGGACACGTGGGACACGCGCATTGCCAAGCTCCGCCTGTCCGCAGACAGCTTCGTCAGCCAGCAGGAAGCACATGCCAAGGTAGGGGGTTTCCATTACTGACAGACCGGCGGTGCTTTAGACTAGACCGGAGCGTTCCTGTGGCTGCTCTCTCAGTTATTGAAGTCAGCTGCATATTGATTAAGTGCCTGGTTTGTCCTCGGGAGTGATCCCACCACAGTTTGTCACCAGGATCGAATGCCCACCTCGGCTCGTGCCTGTGTTCTCACAGTAATTCCCTCTGACTGGACCAGTTTTGCATTTTGAAACCCTTAGGCGTTGTGACAGTTCGCTGCTCTGAGTAATACAGTGGGGTACATATTGAACTGGCCCGTTGATAAGAGAGGAGATATAACACAACAACAGCCTCATTAATCCGCTCAGCAGACAGTGCATGAACAGTAGAGGTTACAGCCTTGTTTCTTTTCTGTTTTTAATTCTAGCTGGATAACCTGACCCTGATGGAGATTAACACAATCAGGCAGTTATTCCTGGAGTCCTTGAACCACATGTACAAACTGCGCACAAACATGCAGCCTGGAAAAGACTCCGCCAAATCACAGGACTTTTAGGTGCCGTCCACCCCCCCTCGTGAAAGACTGACAGTCCGTTCTCCCAGGCCTTTGTCTTTGCAATTGGGCCTGTATGACATGAACCAGGGACGTCCTTTTCCAGAAATGTTTGGGTTTACCAGTGTAGCCAACAGGTAGAGACAAGTAACTAAGAGCCGAGACTGTGGAAGCTACACAGTCCCACACCTGTCGAGTCCTGAATGTGGAAATGTCTGCAGCCACAGACACTGGAGAAGACAGTGACTCTGCAACACCTGCTATTATTAATGGAAATAATAATAATAATGAGTGCGTGGTTCACACTCCAGTTCAGGGAGCCAGGCCTGGGCTGAGGATAGGCTTAGGATTTGCTTGGTTGCTATATGCAAATAAAGTGCCCTGCGCCCGTACTGGGTGTGCTTATTGTAAGAAGGTCTCCATTTCGCCCGGTGACTGTGTGTGTTGCCGGTAGTGTGGGGGTCAGTATAGGGTTTGTAATCCCTCTGTCAGACTTAAAGCACTTAAACAGGATTTTTATTTCCATCTATCACTTGTGTGGTCTAGTGGATTTTTAATTAAAAAGAGTCCAGAGTACCCATTAAACGAATCTGCAAGGCACCCTAGAAAAATGCTACACTAATTTATGCATGTGTGGGTTTTAAGCTCAATAGTCAAATTCAATTATTTTTAGCCTGATGTGATAAGATCATTGATATTATTATTGGAAGTTTTTTGATTAAATGCACTTATCCCTGATATACCAATGGTTCATTTCTATTTCTGCATGCCATCAGGTAGGTGTTTTCCAATGGTTGGCAATAATTATAATGCATTAAGAATATTGTGCATAAACCTAAAGGAAGATGCTGCACACTTTAATCTGATGTGTCCACTAGAGGGTGCCAAAGCAGAGCCTCAAACTGGAGTTTTTTTATAACTACTGTGAGGTTATTGTTTGAATCCAACATGATGTAAGACTCCCTTATAGGTGTTTTTTTCTTTCCTTTGATGGAAAAACAATATGAAAACAACATGCACGCTTATTGTGCTCTGTAGGAGAGCCAATCTTGGTGTCATTTTGAAACTGATAAAACTGCATAGTACATGCCTGTATTCAGAACCCACCTCTGAGCTGAGTGCTACAGGAGAGTGCTGGAAACCCCATGAGGTGCTGCAATGGTTGTGCATGGTTTACTTGGTTTCTTCAGTTCTGTAGTCTGATTATTTTGTCTTTAAGCAAAGTGATGGTCTGATGCATCCTGTCTGGAATACATACTGCGGTGACTGAGAAATATCTTTTATAGTCATGTGTGGACATAGAGAAATACATATGGAAAAATCCCCTGACCCTTTGTCACCTCTGTGATTTGTCTGATTAACCATTTTTATTTAGCCAACGGTTCATATGGTTGTCACTGCTATAGCTTATATTTTACAACTGGCTCTTTCACTAAAGCAGCCTTCCATTCATTGTCTTATTGCATTATCTAACAGTCACAGGGGGCCAGTGCCTATCTGCGCAGGCATGGCTGTGGACGGTGAGAGGAAACCCACATGAAGGTGCAGAACTGAACCCAGGACCCCCAGCGCTCGGGGCAGCAATGCTGATCACTGCACTGCTGTGCCATCGGTCACTGAGGCCATCTGAGTAAGAGGCGTTGCTCAAGAGAACTAAAGCAATGCGTCATCAGAGCTCTTAACTCATATCCTTCCAGAGCCTGAACATAAATCCCCTGACCACTGCTCCAGAATGTGATTCTAAACCAAAAATGTTTTATACTTAATAATTACAATATCTAATCTTTAAGTATAAAATCCATTTTTTTTGCTCTAATACCTATCCCTTATTTAATGTCGGTACGTGTTTAGAGAATCCAAGCTAGTTGTTACTCATCCCTGCAAATTAAAGGGTAATTTAGGAAGACTTTTGGAGCATTACTGTGTGCATGCACAACAATTGGGGTTTCAGAACTGTTCTGTTTATTAAACAAATTAGCAAAACTTTTAACATATAGTACCCTGCAACTGACAACTGGCAGCCACTGAAGCTCAGCAGGTGTGAGCCTGGCCAGTACCTGGATGGGAGACTCCTGGGAAAGCCGTTTGCTGCTGGAAGGGGTGTTAGTGGGGCCAGCAGGGGGTGCTCAACCTGCAGTCTGTGTGGATCCTAATGCCCCAGTGTAGTGAGGGGGACACTATACTGTAAAAAGGGACTGTCCTTTGGCTATGGTGTAAAATTCCGCTCCCGACTCTCTGTGGTCTCCAGAATAAATCGCAGATGAAAGGTCTGCAGAAGAACCTTGTCCCTGCTCACACCTTTATTAATGCTGCAAGCATGCGTCTTTCTCACCCCCCCCCAAGAATCAACCACCACCCCTTTCTGGACATTTTGCAATATTTTATTGTCTTTTTTGTCTGAAATTACAGCAATATATTCATAAATACCTAATTACTACATTCAACAAAGAATATATTACATTACAATTAATTCAAACAAGTACATTTAAAAACTTTTTTTCTTCACAGCATCTAAACATCCTCCAGAGAACAGGGCAGGTGGGGGCGTGGCCGCGTGCCGGCTGGCGGCCGGGGGGGCGCGGGGTCGAGGGATTGAACTGCACATGGGGGAGCAGGCAGAGCTCTCGTTTGCTGCCTCTTTCCATTTTTACAAGATCATTCTGACACCACACAGTACAGCGCACCCCCATTCTCCTCCAGGGCTGGTTAATCGGTATTCAGATGAACTGCTCATCCACCATACCAACACAGAATTGACACAAACCCATCAAATACAGTGAAAAACAAGATGTCTCCTAGTGCGATCTGGTGAGTGTAGCGGGGGGAGACGGGACATGTTCAGTAGAGACACTGCACAGCAATGGGACATGTGGGCCAGATTGGCAGGGAGCTTGGCTTCGAAAACGAACAAAAAAAGGCAATTCAGAAAACACTGAGCCCGGGCCGATGAAGGACAAAGAAAAAGTCCTGGCATCTATTTGCTGAGAATCTTGTTTGAAAACACAATATGCGAGTGCAAGTTAAAATAAGGACGACATTTAGTTTTGTGTTAATGGAAGCATGTGGTACAAAGTTGTTCGACAGGCAGATAGCACACTGTCTCCATTAACAGCGCGGCTGCGGCCGCGACGCGTTTCTCTCGTCTGTGGAAGAAGGCTGTGCTCCCGACATGCAGGGCCTGGCGGAGCTGTCTGGCGGCGGGGCTACCCCACTCAAGACGAGGGCAGTTCTCCCCATCGCGAACCGCCCCCGGTTCCGCAGGTACCCCCACACATGCTCCTTTCAACACCCAGAACTGTTCCCGAGTCACGCAGGAAAAAACTAAAATGGATATCGCCAGCACTCACGGAACAAGACGGATGGCCATTGTGGGAGCATTCTATAGAAAAAAACAATAAATCACCCTTTATTGCTCACTTGTCATTTCGTATTCTGGTGATGTTCTAGACTTTAAAAATATAAAAATAGATTTTCTAAATAAATATTAGTATTGACATTAATCTTTTGTTTTCTAGAATGCACCACCTAACAACACTGGAATAAGGCTCGCCTTTTCAAAATAAACAATTTTCAGATGAGCGCCGTGGTTTAGGTTCCTCTTTAGTACTGGCTGTTCAGGTTTCTGTGGCTGGACTCTCAGGAGTTAAACTCATCTAACTTGCGAGGGATTTCAAAGTGACTCTTCCAAGGAGTGAAGAAAACGTTCAGGAAGGAGCGAAGGGACTTGGCAAAGAAACAAACGTCTTCACGCACAAAAGCATAACTAGAGCGCCCTCTAGTGGGAATTACTTGAAACGCATCGAATGAACTCAAGAGGCCTTGGTGCTGCAGCTTTCCCAGCACCGACTACTTATTTCAGCAGAAGCAGAAAAGGGGTACACAAAATACAGTACGTATTTTTAAAGTACATGAATATATTGAATTTAATCCTAAGGGAAGGAATAAGGTTTATTGGGTTGGCTGAAATGCCCATTTCTAATCAATTTCCAATATTCACAGTGGGTCTACAGGAGTCTTCTACATGAAATGCCTCAGTAATTCTGTCCACCTCAGGTAGCTAAGGAAGGCAGGCTGAAAGCCCTGAGTGGCTATTTGGCACACACATCAGTTTTATGGCATTTGAGATAAGAAGGCTGGATGACAGTCACTGCTCCACAGCTGATAATCACAAGGCAGCGGGGGGACCTCACGACCTCAGAGGGGGACAATAAGGAGCTCTTTGCGGCAGACCTTACAGACGAACATTTTCCCCAACCCAAAAACCAAGCCAGTCTCTCTTTTCCCCACAGTACAGGCAGCAGCCTTGCAAAACCCCCTCTCATCTCCGAGATCTGAGCTGCTTTACAGAGCAACCTGGGAGTAAGAGCCAGCCGCCAGGACTGAAAGTAAAGGCAGCACAGAGATTCAAACAGCTTCCTCTGCCGCGCCTGTTTCAGGGCCCGGCGCTGGCGGCCGCCTGGAGTCCTGCAGCGACTGCCTCGTCAACAGAGGAGAAGCTAGCTGGGCAGAGTCACAGGGACTTCCTGCACACCGAACACAGAACACAGCGAAGGAGAGACGAGGAACAGCACGAGCATGTTCCTGAACAGACCGGAACTTTCTTAGAAGGAATGATCGCACAACAAAGGGCTTTTCTTTTAGCTGTTCAGGTATGCTCGTCCCTGCGGTACTGACAGTTCTCTACTGGGCGTTTTAACGACAGCATCGCTCTGCAAGGGGCTGCACCTCTGCTGGGAGGGGGGTGCAGGAAGAGGACCTGCAGTGTTATCTGCTCTGCACTGCAAACCAGAGACGACCGCCCTTTAACCACTTCCCAGCAGGCGGCTCTGGGAGCACAAACCACCCGCAGTGCCACCCTATCGGCTCGGCTTAAATCCTGCCCGAGAACCAGGGCACAACAGGTCTGAACCTGGCACCACATACTTCATACTGGTGGCATTGTGCTTCAGCTGTCAGCGTTCCAAAAAAGGTATCGTATTTAATGTCCTTACATTACTTAACAGTTAGATGCTTAATGGGTAAGGACATGTAAGCATGCATTTATGTTCACATCCTAACTATTCCTGCAAAAGACTGTGATACATTAACATACCAGTAAAAACCTTCAGATGATGACCTTATTCTGCAAAAAAGAAACCTTGTTTCGACTTGCTAGTGGTGTCAAGCACCTGAGTCGCGGTTCAGTCCACACTTAGCCTGAAGGGGAGGAGTCCAGTGCGCTTGCAGCTGCTGTCTTCACAGTGCCCAGGACTGGAGCCCTGCTATCTACAGTGGTTTGATTCAGCTTGTTCAGAGACTTCTTCCACACCACCACAGGAAGGGAGAGAGAAAGGCCATAATGCGTGTTTCATTTTTAACCTATAACCTTTTACTGGTGAAACCAAAAAAGAAAAAGGTAGGAGCACATGCACCAGTGAAAGCCGTTTCTTTCCTTTAAAATGCTTCAATTTTTTATCCTGACCAGCAGCAGTACAAACACTAAAAGCAATTTCTTTTGCCAAAAAGCATTAACATATTAAAAATGGCAGGCTTTTTGTAATAACAATAATTAAAGTAATAAAAACATACAAAAATCTTTTAATATTATTTACATTGCAAGGCTGAAGCACCTTTTCATTTCAAAATTTCTATTTTGTAATAAAACATTGCCTTTTCAATCTTTCCAAAATGTGCATGGAAGTTCTTCCCCAATCAAAAAAAAAGGAATACCTTGAAACACAGTACCTCGAGAGAGTTCTTCAGGGTTTTTTAAGTGCATTTCCAGTTGAGAGCCCATTAGAACCACAGGGGTGTCTCGTGTATGTACCAGAGGGCAGCAGACAACATTTGTGCAGGAGTGCGGACAGTAAATGTCCACAGCTGTATGTGACAAAATGCTTTTTTTACTAGTACTGTGCCAAATTATAATGTTGCAAGACAATGCAATTCATTTCAGAATTTCAAAGGACCCCAGCCTTTCATTTCTGCCTGGGTTTTATTGGCATCGTAAGGATGGAGTGGGCATCGTTTGTATCCGGTTGGGTGGAGAGCTCCAAGCGCTGGGAGCCAGCCCGCCCCTCTGAGATTCCAGCAGGATCAGGAGACGGCTTCCCCGGGCCTGGCTACCAGCTGTCTGCTCCTCCCTGCGCCCAGAGCTGAAGACAGACACACTGGGTAGGCTTTCCAATGCATGGCACATTCAGGGCTTGCTGTAGCTGCAGTCCATCTTTCGTGGAGACTTTCTTAAATAATCCAGGTAATAAAATAGACTCTGTTTTGCTACTCTGGGGACCAGGGAGGGCGTAGGGATGTCACCTCGGGGGGTACCCCTTAAAGTAACCCCTAGACCAGTGCGTCTGTGGCAGTGCAAGGCACTTTCGGAAGTGGTCCAGCTCGGCCTGGAGCTTCTCGCGCTCGGAGGCCAGCTTCTGCTTCTGGGCCATCAGCTCCTGTTGAAGAAGGAAGAGGGGGAGATAAACCACACTGGCAGGTCTGAAGACACCCCAGATAATCTAGGTGCTTTGCGAGTTCCCTTTGTTCAGTAACAGTGACTGGAGATCAATCAAACGAATGTGCGCTGCTGCAGGCACCCC